CTCTGAGCTCCCTCCCCCGCGGTTTCGGGACCTCCCGCTCCCCTCCGCGATCCGGGGTGCCCGGGGTGGAAGCGGGGAAGGGCCTCCCCTGTATGGTTTTTAAAATTACGGTGTTTCTATATTTATATATTTTTTTCCGTTTTAGCCTCGCTTGTCAGCTTCTCACAGTTCAGTAGCAATCAACTAAAACTGATTTCGGTTTTATTACTGGTCATTTTTTTCTCTTCCCCTACCCCTCCCCCCCCGTTTTCTTGCTCTGAAAAGTCAGATTTGTAACTGCTTCTTTTCTCCCTTCCAGGAGCAGCTCTGTGTTATGGGGGACATGAAAGAAACAAAAATGCAGATAACGCCGGAAACCCCGGGACGAGTCACCATTCTCAACCCCTTTGAGAGCCCAAGCGATTATTACACCCTCCAGGAACAGATCGTCTCCAGCCCTTCAGTCTTTAAGTCAACAAAATCCTCATCAGTAAGAGCTAGTCTTCAGCTCTGTGACTGTACACATACCATGCTAATAACTTGAAATGCATTGAAAAGCTATGTTTGTTCATTTTTTTTTCACAGACTTCCACCAAAAAGTTTTGGTGGCATTAAAAAAAAAAAGCCACGGCACTAGTATGATTGCAATAGTATGTTTCTTTTAATACTAGAGGTTTTTTTTTTAACATTAAGGCTATCATTCAGTCTTCTAACTTACTGATAATGCTGTTTTTTTTTTTCTTCTTTATCTGTTCTTTAGTCTTCATTTTTACTATTTGATAAGCAGGAAAGGCAATGCTGTGTAAAGTAGGCTAAGGACATGTTTGGAAGATAAAATACTGTTTTTCAAAGTTATGTATGACCAGTATTTTCTAGGTTTTGATATTAAGCAAAGAGGTGAAGCAACTTTATTTCCAAGTCTGAATTGGCTTTTGTTCTGAGTTAGGCATTTTGCATTGCCCCAAAGTGGATGTGCCTATGCCTGCAACAAATTGAGGAAAAAAAAAAAGTGCACCTCAGTTTGTAAATATCAGCTCTAGTCCTCCATCTTATAATCTTGTAAATCATTTTAATACTCCTACCCTGAACAGGAGGCCTAATTGAATAGCTCATTTTTATTTTATTAAGTAGGTCATTTCAACAGATTGAGATTTGTATGATTATCTTTGGAAAAAAATATGGAAGCTATGGTTGCATTATTCCAAAGAGATTTGTGCCATGTGGTTTTATTTTTTTTATCTTTTTGGACAGGAAAGCGTTAAGATATCCATTTCTTTTTTTAGACACCAGGAAAATTTAGGTGGTCCATTGATCAGCTAGCTCTAATAAATCCTGTGGAGATTGATTCGGAAGATGTTCGACGCCAAGCAATGTATTTGAGTCACACTAGGTAACTACCACCTGTCTTTATGCAGTTAGCAAACTTGAGTGCTGTAGTACTAGTCTTTTGTTTTATTGACGTTTCATACAACATGAAAGACCTCTTATTGACTTTTTTCTTTTTTTTATTTTTTTAATGTTTAGGTGAGGCTGCCTCTGTTTTAGTCTCCTTTTTTTTTTTCTGATGTTAAATCCTCAGATCCCCTTTGAAGTTTGAAAATAGGCTGGGTATAGCAGTTGGTGGAAGCAAGAAAAATGCCTTGTCAATACCTATTACCTCTCCTGCTGCCTCTCCTGCTTCTTGTCTTCTCAGAATATCTTCCTGTATTGAGAGCTGTGAAAAGCAGTTCCGTGGTCTCTGGGACTCCTGCAGAAGGGTAGTGTTTCTGGGAATGTCCTTCTAAGAGT